GGCTAAAGGGTGACCTCTGCTTTGAAAAGGACAGGCAATTTTATCACAGATACCATGCCCTAAGCCTCAGTTCTTTCAACACATATTATTCTCAGCATCTGTATACAATATAGGACAAGATCTTAAAATCCTAGGATCCTGGGATAAAGTAACTTTTTTTTCCTCTCAATAGCTAAGGTCAGGCTCCCCAGGAGAAAGGAGAGTTTGTAAAATATTTCAAAAATCTGCATATTAACTTGCAGCAGTTGAAAACATATAAAATAGCTGCTATATCTTTAGGAGCAGCAGGACTGTGTGGGTCTAATCAGGGCATTTTATCTGAATGAAAGACCAAATTACACACCCCAGTCCACAGAAATCCGCAAACAAAGTCAACAGCAGAAAACTTCATGTTCAGTAAAAACCACCCATTGTCAAGTGCAACAAAGTAGGAGAAAAGTATATGTTAGAACTGAATTTCTGGCTATAAAACGTCATCTTAAGCCAACTTCTTATCCAGCAGTTTTGCCTGCAGGATGTAGATGGCATCAGGAGTGCAGCGAATTGAAACCTGTCTCATGCTCTCTGAATACATTCACATTATCATTGCCAGAAGTGTGTGCAGCACAGCAACCTACTGCTACACAAGCATGTCAAAGCCAGGCTTTATAATCTTTTGCTTCCTGAAAGTAATATATCATTCCAAATACAATTATATCATCCCAAATACAATTAGCACAGCACAGGCTTATTACCAACAGAAGCACAACACAATCTAGACATTTTTATTCCCAGCACACAAAGAAAGAACAAAAGTTCTGATTTAAATTTGGCTTAATCACTTCAGTGAGAAATTGTTTGCAGAACTTGAGAAACCCTTAAATGCTCATTGCAGATGTTGGCTTGAAGGACCAGAAATTCACATTCATAATAAGAGGCTTCCCTGAAGCTCTATGGTTTGTGGCACTTGAAGCAGATATTTACCAAGTGAAATTCTGCTCCTACTGGAGTTGGTAAAGGCTTTCCCATTGATTTCCATAGGGCTCCATCACTCTCACTCTAACAAATAATAACCAGAAGCATCTTTTAATATCTATCTTTTACTGCAATGTACTGTAAGATACTGTATATGCACTGCATTAAATGCAAGTGGCAGGAGACATTTGTGCTCTGAAATAGATAAAGTAGCAAGAGGAAATGCCAGTAGTCCTCTGAATTTCCCAAGTGAATCAAACTTTAAACCATGCTTTCCTTAAAAACAGTAATTACATTCTTACCCTAAAAAATGTCACTGTCCCTAAATAAGCCCTGCAGCCATGTCATCAAAGGGTCACTAACTGAACCTTCCAGGATGGGGAAATCAACTGGTTAATCACTCCAAGTTGTGGGAACTCTGATCCCAACCACACAAGAATGGAATGATCCCAAGCAGCACTACAGGCCAAACTAAATTGGAAGGGATTTGTTTTCTCCATTGATTTACTTAATTACTTTTCAAATTAAGCTAGCTATTCAGGTAATTCTAGAAACAACCTCAAGGCCTGAATACTCTGTGGCAAAACAGATGTGAGCTCTGGGAGGGAGCTGTGTGGGTGCCAGGCTTAGAGAGAGCTGAAGCAGCAGCCAGGTGTCTATTCCCTGCAGACAGAGCACCTCGGATCAACTAACTTGGGTTTTGTATCCGTGCTCCACTGGGGGTTTGTTTGCAACAGATCAAGCAGACTTGCTATCACAGACCTTACAGGGTAGAAATCAAAGGTGTTGGCAGAGCAACAGGCTCTTCGTTCTGCCTCTGAGACTTGGGAGAAATGAAAGGAAGGTTCAACACCCACTGGAGACTCCAGTGTGCTCCAGCAGAGCTCAAACTGCCGGGCTCTTTGCACAGAACCAGGCAACTTGTTCTCAGCACCTACTGCACAGACCTCCCAGTTCTGGATGTGTTCTCAAAGACAACCCAAACCAGTGCAACTTAGAGGCTCAGTGCGAAGACATCACCTTGGAGTGCTGGAGCACTTGGGGAGAGCAGAGCGCCCTGCAACGCTAAATGACTCCTGAAAACCACGGCTTCCTAAAAGTTAAGTAGCAAGAAAAAAATTAAAATGACCAAGCTACTATCTGAAGAAAGAAATGGTGAAGAGCCTTGCCTACGAGGGATGTTGGCTGCTGATGCCTGGCAGAGCTGGGAGACAACACTGATTCAGTTCAACAATTCCTTAGTCACTGTTAATGGCATATTTCTTCTTGTTTAAAAATTACATTAGAGATTCCCCTGGCAATAGCAGAAAATTAATTTCTCTAGATTCCCAAAGTGAAAGCCCTCCTTCTTGTATGGATTCAGCTGATCCAAATACTACTTTATTTTCCTCTCTCCTCCTTAAAAAAGAAAAAGAAACCCCACACAAACTTCAACTGTAAATATGCATACCTGCAAGCCTTCCAAGGCAAGGAAAGAAAATAAAATTTATGAGATCATGGGAAAACTCAGTCTTACAGGTACTAAGCACTGCCAGAAGAAGACACAGTGCACAAGAGCTTTGCTCTCCAACCTTGCACCTTCAGAAGCCCTGGCTGAGTCCTACCATATGAGAGGCTCGGGTAGCCCTAGCAAATGCCATTTTCTAGAAAATCCAAGGAACTCAGAGCACAGATCCTGTAGTGCAAGTGAGAACACATAAAAAAAATCTGTTGCAATTTAGCACATGCATCCAGGAGAAATGCTAGGTTATGTGGTGCTACACACAGAGCAGAAAACACATGGAAAAAGGATCCAGTGACATCAGGTGGAAGGGATCTCTGAACATCCACAGTCCCACCTCCCACTCGGAGCAGGACAATCACCAATACCAGAACCATCCACTCCCTGGAACTTTTAACTAGATGATTCTTGTTCTTTTGTTACGTTATTTGGCTGCTTATTAACTGTTTGGGAGTGTCTGCATGGCAAACAGCCAGAGAAGGAACAAAACCTATCATCTCCAGGCCTTGGTTCCTAAGTTGGACAAGAGAAAGCAACAAAAGTGAACTGAGGAAATCAGTCCCCACTCAGCTCCTAATCATCAGTGAAAAGGGAATTGTGGTCCAAAGAAAATGAAGTCAGCAGTCCTCAGGAGGAGGTGAAAGGGCACCTCCCTTGCTGGGGCCCTGCTGATGGCACCCCTCGGGCTGTGCAGGAGCCCTTTCTTCTGCACTCACAAAAGAATCCAAGCAAGTAATTTAAAAGTGCCTCAGGGCAGAGCTCGCCACCAGATCAGGTTTGCCCCATTAAGATAATAAATGAGGTAATGCATAAAACTGCCTCTCATTTGAGGACATTTCATTCATAAAACAGAAATACCAACAGCTTTGCTACCAAATAAACTTCATAGATGGGTTTAAAAAGTCTCTGCATCTCTCCCTGCAGCAGAGCAGAGCCAAGCTATAGAGATTCTGTGGCACAAGACACACTGTTTTCAAGGACAGCTCTGCAAGCTGAAATGAGAGCTGACAACTTCCAGGTCATTAACCTGACAGCATAAACAGGACCTATGTACAAGCACATGCATTCAGGTGGACTGGAGCAATGGCCCCAAAATGCAGACCTAGACAAACACTATTCAGCTTTTTGTTCTGAGTTTCCAGAAAACCTTCTATTCTCTACTCCCTTCTCCTCATCCTCAGGATATGTGGAGCCTGGTGCTGGCTATATTTGTGTTGCTAGCTGAAAGAACAGCAGAACATGCCAAGCATTTAATAACAAAATTCCAGCCTTGTGACACAACCCAGTAATCCCAAGACTGGAAACTAACCTCACATTTCTACTCAGCATAAAGCCCTAATCCTAATAAGAGCACCACTAGTTTTATTTTGCCTGAACCTTTTCTAAAGACATGCATCTCACAAATTAAAAAAGTTACCATGTACCAGGTGACCTATGTACCCACGGCATCTACAGACTGGTAAAGTTATGACAACACAGAAACTGCTAAAACTAGTTAGGCTTATCTGTATGCTCTTACACAGAACAGGTTATAGCTGGATGAGCTGTTGTCGTGGCCACGGCTGGTCCCCTACTACCTTGGGACTCCTCTCAGAACACTCCTAAGACAAGGAAATGGAGATTTGCAGGGCCCCAGGGGGACCATGGCTGGGTGTGAACATGCATATAACAGTGCTCATCTAACACTCCAGCTGCAAAATGGCAGGGTAGGAGGCTCAGCAAGCCAAGACCCCAGGTTCAGTCCTGGGACAAATGTGCATTATATACATTATCTAATGGCTCATCAAGACCCTTGCAAAAAGGAGGGAATAAACTCCTCCAACCCCAAGTTGGTGTTTCAACCACTGTTTCAGCCTTGATCATTTCCATCACCACATCCCAAGCAGCTTCTCACTACTGCAGCTGTCCTGGCTTCAATACCAGTGGGGCCTGCAGTTCACAAAGTGTCATCAAACACCTGGAATTACATTTTATAACACCTTTTACTGTCACTAACTGCACTGCAGATGTGAGGACATGCCTGACAAAGCTGCAGCACAAGTCTATGCTGTATCAAAGCACAGACAGCAGAACTGCTCATCTGTCTCAACTTACAAATCACAAAACAGCAGAAAAATTGTGCTGCTGCACACAGCCCTCTACAGCTGCAAGATGTGACACATAAAACTGCAAATGCAAAAGTTCTAGGGGAAGATAGAAACAATACTATGTTAAGCTAAAAGAAATAATTTGTGCACAGGGTACATTTATTCCTATACCGAGAAGAAGCACAAAAGGCTAATACACCTATTAAATAGCTATAATGTGTGTTTAACCACAGGGTTCATGCCATGTTGTGCTGTCTTGCCCCAGCACTATGATATTTTCTGCAAAGCTCTTTGCATTTCCAACTGGGATGGGCATATTTTGCAAAGACCATGATCTGGCCATGTACAGGGTACACAGAAGCATCACTTCAGAAGAAAGAAATTTAGCTTCAACCTTGACAAAGTCACATTTTATGGACACAAATAAGAGGCCAGTGTTACACAGCCACTACACTTACTCTGCGGAATGACACCACGTAGAAAGTATCCTCCCTTCGGCGAATCGCTTCAAAGAAGTCTTGATAGCTCCTTGGAGAGGCATAATACACTTGCAGCTCATTCCCTGAGTTCCTGCTGAAATAAAGAAGGGGGAAAGGTAATTATTTTAGACAAGGAAGTTAACTTCAGTGAGACAATGACTTTAAAAGACCTGCTTTTCAAAGGAACAGCAGCTCTTCATCCATTGAGAGAAGCATGAGGAACATTAAACACAGGTGAAGACAGTGAAAGTACTGGGTACTTTCTGAAAGTTCAAGGTGCTTTGAAGGTCTTACTTTAGGAAGGTTTTCCAGGCTTGTTTTTATTCATGGTTCTGAGGCTGGCAAAAACCCGTCTGCTAGCTCAACATAAAAAAAAAAAGTTTCAACATGAAGTGTCTGAAAAATTGTGATGACTTCTGAAAATAAATTTTAGAATGTAATGTCCTTCTGAAATATCAAAACATTTAATAATTTTCTTTTACTGATAAGAATCCAAACCACTGAAATTGAAAGAAGTGCAAAGTTAAGCATAAACAGAGCTTCTAATTTACTGTCAAATGACAACTCCACTTTTTCTCTCACCCACCTTTTAATTTTTTTCCCCGTGTCCTTGGTCAACTCAAAGATTAGCTCTTGATTTTCAATTCAGACAGTGGAGCAAAAATAAGATATTTGCATAATTCTGGCTTATCTTATCCACAGTTCTCATCTCACATATATCGGACACAAGGAAAAGATGCTCTAAACCATTCTAAGCAAAAATACTGGCAAGTCCTACAATCACGGTACTTATCCACTGTTTATCTTGGAAAGGTGAGAAATTCCTGGCACATACTGCTATCGTGTATATTTCCCCAATCCCATTCCAAAATAACATATTTAAACAAATTGGAAGGCTATACTTACACAAACCATTATCTGGACATTCAACCAGTCATTTTATCTTAATAGCACACTGTGTGTTTGCAGTGTTTGTGGCAAGGACACTGATCAGACTATCCTTCCCCTCCCAAGCTTGTCTTCTGCTGACCCAGGTTTTAAACTATGGTGGCTAATTTAGACTATTTTGATGTGTTTCGAAAATATGACCATGCACCCAAAACAAGGCACAAATCTATCATCAAGTGATTTTCTCAAGCAGCAGTAATAGCAGACTGTCATTATCTTCTCTTCTACTGTTAACATAGTCCTGCTGCAACTGAAGGACTGCAGCTGCCACGCCAGTTGCCCTTTAACAGGATTGGGGGTGTAAGTCCTGGGGGATCAAGAGCAGGCAGCTCTACACTACATATCCTCTTCTGCAGAACTGAGCAAGCAAGGAATCAGATCACATCCTTCACACACAGGAAACAAAGACTGGAGCTAATTTGAGCTTGATTACTCATTCATGAAAACACGTAGGCCCACCAAGCCACCCCTGAGATTCAGCATTGAAGTTGTACTGTGATAAAAGGCATCACGCCCACGTGTTGCTCAGCACAACACATCCTGAAAGCTGAAACGGGCCCCACAGATCCGTTTGCTCGCCCACACTCCAGAACATGCAGCTAGACCCAAAAACTGGCCTTTTATAACTCTAAATCCAGGCATGGGAGAAAACTGTTCCAAAGCACTTGGAAACCACTGGGCTTTTACAAAGCTCTCCTGGTCATGGAACAAATCTAACACTAGTCCCAGATTCCAAGTGATACCAGGGGATTACAGGCATGACATTGCATCTACCTTTGAACACCCACGGGTAATTGCAATGGACCTCTCCATGAAAGGAAGGGAGGAACTTCAGAGCCAAAAACAGGTGCAAAAATATCAGTTGTTTCAGTAACACCTTCACATTTTACAAGAAAACATCATATTAAATGTACATCCAAAACAGTGGTACTGAGCCTGGGAGATAAATGAGTCTGTCTTGTTTTAAAAGTTTGAAGGGCACTGTTGCACATAGGTTTGTTTTGAGAAGGAATGAGACTGGACACAGGGCTTTATGCATCAACAACCATAATTTCAATAGTGAAAAACTTAGAAACAAGAAAATAACTAGAGAGTTTAATATCGAAAGCCTTAAAATACACACTTGCAGAAGCCTTCAACAAAACCACCTTTGAAGGAAGCTTGATAAACAGATGAGGGGTTTTGATGATTTCCTTTGAAATCATCTTAATTTTTGTCTTCATCCCGTGCTTTGACTTCTCTGCAATTTTTTTCAATTAATAAAATTTCTTTTGGAATCCAGGACCAACATGATAATCAGTGCTACAAAGATAAATCTAGATACTGCTAATGTCCTCCTGTCCGTGGATTCAGGTCACCAAGCAGGGTGTTCTAGAAGACAAAGGTCACTCAATTTACAGTCACAGCACTGGTATTAAAAATTAAACACCTTGACAGGGGTAATATCAATGACCAAACTAAATAAACAGCAGTTTATTCCCAACTGATGAGGCACAAGTGCTGCAAAAAGGAGCTGTGGTGCTTGCAGGGAAGCTGAATGTGAGCCAGCAGGAATCTGGAGGGAAACTGCATAGTGGGTTGGATTATGGACAGGGACTGGAGCACAGGATGCACAAGGAGAGACAGAAGACAGAAGGAACAGGGCTTGTTCAGCTCAGAGAAGAGGAGGCTGAGGGAGCTCTAACTGCAATACTCCTGATGGAGATTACAACAGAGATGGAGATCATGTCTTCTAAGAGAGACATACAGTAAACCTTAAGTTAAATCTACTCTGAGTTGGAGATTGGACTAGAGATCTTCAGAGGTTCTTTACAACTACTCTGTGATTCTATGACTTCATGGAGCACCTAATAGCTGATGGCTCTGGGAGGAACTGGAAATCTGTTCTATGTTCTTAGCAGCTCCAGGACAGTCATAGCATGCAGCTGCCATGACTCACTGGTCCTGTTCATGTAAACATCATTAATCTGAAAAAAAAAAATTCTCACTTCCTTCTGAGCACAACAGATTATTCCATGCAGAGTTACATGATGTTGCACACTGTTTCCAGTAATCCAGATAATTTTTTTCAAGAGTAATGCAAGCATGTATATTAAACCGCTTTATGCCATGAGGCTTGTTCAATTAAAACAGATAATTTTTCATCTACCTGTAGAACTCAAATAGGTGTTTTTTTTTCTTGTAAGTCAAGACATATCAAAATTTGACAGCCTGGTTTCCATAACACTGGCTTGCAGTTTTGCTGTTTTCCCCCTGGCTGATCCTGCTGTCAAAGCAGCAATGCAAACCGAAGGCCCACAGCTGTCTTTCAACAGCAACATTTCAGGTGGTGTTCTCAACAAAAAGTCCCCTTTATAATCCATTCTGCTCTTACACTCCTCTTTGGCACTTCAAAGCAGAGAACCTCTTGAACTGTCTCACACAGAATTCAGGAGAGAGAAATTTTGTTTCCTCCAGTTTTACTCTCCAGTACTTCCTGTCACCAGGGAAGAGGGACAGGATAGTTACGTGGAGGAGGGAGCAGGGGACATCAGGAATCTCTGGATTAGTGTGCTCCAGTAATCAGCATGGAAAAATCAGGAGATGGAGACAAACCATGCAAATAAGGCATAATGGTACTTTAACTTCATCATAATAATTTGGTCCTAGCTATACTGGCTCTACTCTTGAAGGCAGTGAAAGAAACCTTTCTCCTACCAGATTCATGGCTGTTTGAAACTTTCTTATAAACTAATGATGTTCTCACAGATAGTCCCAAGTCAATTCTCCTTTTTTCCCTAAATATTCAAATCTGATTGGAAAGGTATTCTGCAGAGTGAAGTAAAGATTTTTGTAAGACTTATTGGTAGAAAGACCCCAGAGTGGAGCTGTGATACCTTTAAGTGTAGTTTAAATTATTAGAAGCAATTATTTGCTAAGGCACAGAAATTAGGCCAAGAAAAGTAGCTGCATTTGGCTTAAGAATTCTGACAAAGTGAAACCCAGCCTTTTTTACCAACTGTTGGTGAAAAGTTGGGTTATTAAGTAGAAAGCAGTAACAAAGGAGCTGTTCCTGCCTTACCTGAGACTGGTGTCTGTGTAAGGCATGGCCATCAGCTGGGAATCTGCCTTCTCACTCAGGGAGCTCTGAAAAAGGGGGAATATGAAAAGATGACACAAAGTGCAAACAATAAGCATTTTCCTGGTTTGCCACTACATAAAATACGTTGCACATCTGTAACAGAGAGTACAGTGGGGTGCAGAGGTTAATCAGCGCCCTGCACCAGAAATGTGCGTTTTTCCACTGGTGAAACATGAATAACTGAAATGGTCAGCAATCAAACTGGAACAAAAACAACAAAAAAATTTTAATACAGCCAGATTTGAAGTCACACATTCAGAGACAAAGAAGAGAGCCTGGCACCAAACCCAACAGTTGCACAAACTGTGTGATCCAACTGAAAAATTCGCTACCACTGACATCAGATGTGCAGAATTCTTCTGAGGTCTCGTCCACTTTGCAACTCTGCTAAAACAGACTATTCACAACATGCTTCTGGTGTTTGAAACACTAAAAGCACACGAATTTTCTCTCCTTAACTGTTCTGTCAATCTCCTTTGGACAGCAGTGAAAAGAATCTGAAGTTTAATGCACAATACCTTTTCCCTAGAAAAGTGAAGTATTTCCCACATTGTTAAGTTCAATTCTTTTTCAAGCTCTAATCAAATAAAAGACTTTGAAAATTCATTGTCTTCATTTCAGCCTTGGTATCAGTATGCCATGTAGATGAAAGGATTTATGTGTATAAAAGGGATTTCAAAAAAAGAGAGAGATGAGCGCAAGTCTCATAATTCTGTAGTCTTACCAAAAAGTAATCCCTCCAGCAAAAATCTGAAAAATGAAATAGAAATATTTCAACAAAATCAATTAGCTGTGCCCCTTAACAGTGAGGCAGATGAATGTGCAGTTGCAACCAACTGCTTATCTTTGCAGAAAAGCCATAAAAAGGCTAACTACCGATTTAATTTTAGAAAATGCTGAACCTATTTTGATGACCGCTAAAAAAATTCAGAACTTCTAGCCTGAATCCAAGAGCAGGAATGGAAGAACAACTTTGACAACATAATGATCAACCAAACCCAGCAATTTAAAATGGGAAGTGTTGGGTACCCTAATTACAGGCACCATCGCTACTTTTGTCTACAATAACAAGTGCAAACAAGTAAGAGAGAATATTTCACATTGACTGAATTATCTTGTCATGCTATTGAGTCATGAGTATAAACCTGTATACCTGCATAACCCGTGCTTTCTGCTGCTGGTTATTTGATAACCTTCTAGATCTTGTTCGTTCCACTTCATGTCTATGAACCCATCCTCGAAGTTCATGATTCAGCCTAGAAAAACCCACAGCATCAACAGATGTTTCAGAGAACAATGGCAAAGATTTTTAGTTTTATAAAACAGTTTAGCCACTATAAAGACACACTGCAGATTACTATTCTTTTATCTTATGATCGTTTATTTTTAACAAAGGAGTAATAAAATAAAGTTGTAAGGTGAAATTTATGAGGGAATTTGTAAGGGAATATCTATAAAGTATTGTACTGATGGATGTTTCAATATAAAGTAGATACAGTAGTTCCTTTTGCCCAATGAACAACAATTTTGAAGTTACTGGAAGGACCATGGCAATTCAAAATCAAAAGTTGATCAAGACAAATTATTGGTTAAGAAGGTTAAACTATGGCAAATAAATCTGAGAGAAAGAAGGGACAAAGAAGATGGAGATAAGGTTAGTGACACATCTGTGGAAAAAGTGGAGGTAGGTATTTTCTAACAGTGAACGAAGCACATCTGCTCAAGTTCAGTTTGCTTGTATCAGAAGCTGAAAAATAGACCATCTCTTATGTAATTCAGATGGAAAAGGCTTTTAGCTGAACTTGATTTCCATATCATGAACATTCCTACATATGAAACAATTTCTCTTCTGAGTCAGAAAGCTGTCAGAAAGCTGTTATTCAATTGCTATTCAATTGCTGCAAATGACCAGTGTGAAAAGAGTGAAAATCATGACTAAAACCATCAAAAGATTACAAAGATCCAAGTCGATCTGTCCTTATGGCAGCAGACACTGGACAGTGCAGACGTTTAGACAGACACTGGTCACGTACTGGATGAACTCTATGAATGTACAATAACATCACTCACAGCTGTCTGCCCAGTAGCACTCAGCCAACACAGAATTTGTATCTCAACTCCTAGTAAACCTTAAACACTCAGAAAAGGTTGATTGCTCACCTCAGTGACTCTGTCCGGTTGATCAGAGGCCGACAGGGTGGGGGTGGTGGTGAAATATATAAAAGTGGCTCTTCTGAGACTATCATTAGTGCTTTATTATCAGACACAGAACGATCATACCTGGAAAAATAAAGAAAAGGATATCAAGAAATCCCTTAAAATACTTTTTTATGGACCTTTGACCAAATCCAGAGAATGAGCACTAATATCAGCAGACCCACAAATGTTATAGCTGCTCCCTTGGGACCTTTGAAACAGGTGAATAACAATTCCTATCAAACATCCAATGTTCTCAGTCAATTCCTCAATGGGGTCTGACAGCACTCAACACAGGGAAGACAGTTGAGCATTAGCAGATGTTGGATCTCTTCCCATAAAGGCCAGATATTGAAAGAAAATGTAGCCTGTAAAATATTCCTCATAGTATGTAAACTATGTGATCTCTGCAGAGGCAACTTTCTTTTTCATTCCAGAGCTGTGCTACAGAAATACTAAATTTATTATCGACTAAAACCATGCAGAAGTAAAGACCATGAGCTATACAACAATGGAGCAGCCACGAACTACATTACAACTGAATGGAGAGGTCTTACATCTCCAGGTGTCTCCAGAATCTAGCCTGGTTTTGACAAAAAGTGAAAAGGAGCATCTATTTCTCAGTACAAAAATCCATAACACTCTCAGCACCTCCTGAAGGGTTAACTACTTATCACAATACCTATTATAAGTTTCTCCCTTGATAAGTTCTCAATGTAACAGCTTTAGTCCTCTACGTTTTGATAGACTTGTAGCTCCTAAACTTCAATTTCTTTCTGAAAAATCAGGTATAAGAGCTCATGAAAGCCTCATTTACATTCCCGTCCTTTTCCCAGCTTTCTCTTCATTTTCATGTCTGCTTCTCCTGTCTACTGCATCTAGGACTGATAAAGAAAAATATGCAGCAAAGAGCTCACAGCTTGCCAAAATCAGGGTGAAACAGTGAAAGAAAAGGAGGAGATACAGGCACATGCATATCCTCCTAAGAGAACTAGTCTACTCTTACATCACCTAAGTCATGGTCTGAAATGTACCACACAGGACACAAAGCCCTCACCATGGCTACAGCCTTAAAATGCTCTTGATTTATTGCCTTCTTTCTGCATGGCAAAATACATTAGGGCTTTCTGCACATCTGTGCCTGGCTTTGTTCAACCAGCCAAAACACTCTACTGGAAAGGGACAGTCTAATAGGATAAATCTTGTAAGGGGAAAACATGAGCTGTATTAGCCAGACTTCAATCTGGAGGCAATTATATGTTCACTTATGAACTGCATGCTAGAGATTTAGGAAGCCTGAAAGCCAGTATTTAATTAAATAATGCAAAAACACAAGGATGGACTCAGAGTTTTATAAAAATGTACAGTGCTAAGTTCAGAGTGTGTTCTTAATTGTGAACTTGCCCAGTCTTCTCTCGAGCAACTAAGAAAATAAATACTCCAGCTTGAAAAGTATGCAGATATAGATAATATGACAAATATCAGAACTATGCAAGCTAAAATATAGATCAGAGGAAAAAAGCAGACAGATGAAGGACTGAAAAAGGTTCTGAAAGCCTCTGTGGCATACACTTGTTTATGTGCTCTCTTCCCTAACACCATGCAGCACAGCCACGTGTACACTTCTGAAGCATTACGTATTGGGTAATCTTGGAGATAAAATACCATATTTATTTGAAAAACAACCTGGTAAACTTTGTTAAATAATAAAAGACTAGCTTTCAAAACACTGTGTTTGTAAGCTCTGCTGCTCTATAAAAACAGCAATAGTGCTGGCCAAAAAGGTCAGTAAGGCAGGGAGAGCTAAAAGCACCATTGCCCTCTGTCACTCAAAATATGTTAAAGGTTTTCATCTCACCTATTACTCTTCTCAGGAATGATGCCCTCAGGTATTTTCTGAGCTGCACTGGACTCCTGGCCAGCTGAGAACTCCAGAAGATTTCTGGTCCGGTGATTAGAACTCGCAGTGGAATCAACTCCACTGGGATCCTTTTCGAATATACTGGAAAACATAATAAACATAGCAAAATGTATCATGCACATAAAGGCTCTGCAAGGCACTTGACTGTGAAGTGTTAAATATTCTCAGGAGGAGAAGCTTCTGGCTGCTGTTATGTTACACGGATAAGGTTCATATCATATCTAATGTAAAAACTTGATATCTTGTGTCACTATAATACTGTCATTCAAAGCATCAGTGGACAGAAAAGCAGTTCTTCAGTTTTAATTGTTTGAAGGATTTTGATGCTCTGTTTTTCATGTTCCCCCACATAAGCTTCACCTGATGAAACAAAGATCAATCTGCTTGTAACCCAGATCTGCAGGCGTAATAAAATTATCTATATCCAAGTAAAAGCACCCCTAAACTTCAACTTTTATCAGCCTTAAAGTACATTTGACATAGTTTATATGAATAGATTATGTAAGGAAAACTTAGCTACCAAATCCTGTGCAGCTGCAAGCCTGGAATGTTATGCCAGACATCTAACAAAAGTGTACACAAACATGTATGTTCAATTCTAGTTGGATTTAGAACAACTGGCAGGGCTGACAGCCCCATCTACAAAGCAGCAGCAGGCCATGGTCCCAGACACCCTGTTGTTCCAGTGTGTGCCTGCATTGATTCAAGGATCCTTCCCTGGGGGCTGCTCAGCCAGCCAGCCATGCAGCACAGGAACCTCTGTGCTGCTCTCCATGCAAAGCAAGGCAGCAGCACTGCACATGTGAGCTGGAAAAACGACCAGCCAACTGCTGTACAACATCGACTGCATCCCAGTTCAGAAGGGCAACTTGCAAGCGAGAAATCCTGAGAGCACAAAAGCAATCCTTCAATTTCTCCTCTCCCGAGGCTGCCTTTACATGGTTGCTTCCTGAAAAAAGTGTATTTACAAACCCAAGTCCTAACCTTCTTGGCTGACAACAGCAGAGCATCACCAGCAGCAACATGGTGAAAACACAAAAATACAAGCCCCCAGCGCACCAATGAGATCTTTGCCATACACGCTGACCACTGCCCACAGAGCACATTTTAATTCATGCCTCACTTCTCCTGTGCAGCAGAGCATAAACTCTACAGGGGAATCTCTCATTTTCCTAGTTTTACATGGCATCACTTTGCAACAGGCAACAAATACAAATGGTAACAAGAGACAGGTAAAAACTAGGAGGGCAAGATTAAATACTCCACAACTACACAGAAGGCACACAGAGTTGCCTAACAATTTCACGTCTTTTGCCAACACATTTGCACTCCTGTTAGTAGTAACCCAGGTGTCCCTGTGAATAATTTTGTCATATTCTGAACCACAGGAGTCAGGGCAATCCTAGACCCTGGCTGACATCACTTTGGCTGCCTCATCTTCTCCAGGTTTCTAGGCAGCATCATTGAGTCAGGGGAGCAGAACTGCTACAGGTTGTGCTTTCACTAGTGCCAATGGGCAGAAAAGTACTTACAGTTTCCTTACTGCCTATGTGCACTGATATCCAAATGTTTCATTGCTTCTACTGCACAGCATGGAAAGCTGGATGGTTTATTCATAACCTCGTATCAGGTAACACCAGGCTATCCAATTTAACAGAAGTCATCTCCACTATCTACTGGATTTTATGAGACCATGTTTCTTCTCTTCCGATGAAAGCATCAGCACAACTGGCAGCATCTCAAGCCCAGAACCAGAGCTCAAAACTAAGGCTGAGGCTTAAACAGATGCCACACCTTCCTGCTGGAAGTCGCTCACCGTCAAAACGCCTCACTCTACCTAACCCGGAGTCATGACAGCCAAAAGGACAGGGTAGTTTATTCATCAAACCAAGAATATCTGTCAGAAGATCTAAAAGTTGTAACTCTCCTGCAAACCCTTCCTCCACAGCCTGAAGTCTATCAGCCATCCAGTGTGTTGCCGAACCTACTGGATCTGGCATTTTGGTCTATCCTACCTCTCTCCTTTCCTGTTCAAAATGACACATCGAACCAGAGGAACTTTCCATGTAATTACTTAGCTAAAGCTGACAAAAATCTAAGCAGAAGATCTGTAACAAATTTGCATTTTTCCATGATGGTTCTTCCTTCCTATTTGCCTCATTCTGCAAAGGCGATTCTTATTTCAGGTTCCAGCTTGGCGGGGTGGCCAGTTTGAGGTGAAGTGTCACATGCAATGCATTCCTACTCCAGTTCACCCTGAGCTCTGAACAACAGCAGAGAAATCCAAACCAAATCCATCCAGGATAAAGACACCCACTGCTCTACAATCACAGTTAATCTTCAGTTTTTTTAATTTAGTTGTTTTAGCTCTACAGCCATTCAAAACCACACACACCTCATTTTATAGCATCAGATTTAGAAGAGAGGAAAAGTTTATTTTTACTCTTCTCAAGCTTAAAGCACCTTAATCTTTTCATCAAAATTAAAATTTCACTTTTGGCAGCAGCCAAGTATGGGATGTTTCAACATGAAAGAATATATTTTCAGCAGCAAAAGACAAAGAAGGAAGTGAACAGAGTACATTTTGCCATCCTTACAGACATAAACCATGGCTCCCACTTCTGACAACACAGGCACCAACTGAGAACAAAATATGGCATTAGGGTATCTATTCAAATGATATTTCCTTTTTAGGATTGTTACTTTCCACAAAATGCTTCTTTTGAAGCAGGGCTAGCAGCACTTTCTGCAATAAGCCATATGGGCCACATTTGCCTCCCCTTTCCCATTCCTTTTGTACCTTGAAGATGACCAAAAGTTTCCTTCTCAAAGCCTAAAATATGCCTAAAAAAAAATTAAAAACCCCCTTTCTTGCTCATTTGGTTTGTGGCAATGACCCAAACCCAAAATAACTAAGTCTGGATAAGGAAAAGCCCCACAACTTGAAATACTGCCCCTCTTCCACCTTCTAGTTACTTGGGTGGTTTTGTTAGTTTTTTTCCCCATCTGAACAGTTGATGTTGTTCTGTTGTATCATTTCTCCCTCTTCCCTTCTCCCACGAGAGGTCACTAGTGAAGTTTGTCTATAAATAGGGCTCCATCTTCAGGAAGCAGACAGGAGAAGACATGGAGGTAATGGTCTGTATCCTCTGACTTCTCAAAGACCTTTCCTTACCAAGTGGGCTCATGACAGTCTGACAAAGGATATCAGAAATACTCCTTCTTTGAAATCTCAAATTAACACAGGGGCAAAAAGCACGACTTAGGACCAAGGAATCCCTTCGAGCAGCTGGGAGAGGATGGACCTCTCCTGCAGAACTACATCTGGAAACAGCGGTCCACTTGAGGCATACTGAGGTTTACAAGTGCCAGGCAGAACAGCAACAATACAAGCTGGAACAGGAAGGATCTACAGAGCAGATCCCAACACCATGACACAGAAGATGAAGTCAATACTGGGCATTTAAAAACATCAGGTAGAAGAGGCTAGAAACCATAGAAAGAAAGGTAGAAGATCTCATTCAGAGGAAAGAAAAGCTTCAGAAAAACAGTATTTTCAACTAAGATATCAATAGTTGCTCTAAGAACCACTTTAATATGACAGATGGTAAAACCATGGGCAGTTTTTTCATTCTGTTGGGCTACAAGATGAGAACTTGGAAAAGGAAGAGCACTTTGGCATATCTTCCCTGAGCAAGTCCTACTATTCGAAGGAACTGAGTTACTGCCGCACCTTAAAAGTCAAAAAAAATTGAAGCTGACAAATGGTTTTACTGGACAAGACGGCCAGGGTAGAAGTTGGAGTCTTTCCTGTTTGGCCACACTTACACACCTGGGGTGTACCAAGGCTTTAGAGCCTGCATTTGGACATCCCAGACACCACAAGCATGAAAGGGTTTTCACAAGTCGCGAACACCATGTCCAAGCTGGTTGAGCTATCGGCTTGTTTCAGATGCAAAACCAGATCCAAGGGAAAAAAAGAAAGAACCACTAAATATTTCATGCAGATGTTTGTTCAGAAGTGTAGATAAATTTGATTATAGGAGGGAAAGAAAAGCAACACTCCTGCCATGGCTTCTCCAGGCATTCAATAGCACCTGATATTTTAGCTGTATTTTTACTTCTTTGGTTTGAACGTCAGTTTGATAAATGTGAAAGCAAGTCTTGCCAGGAGCACGAACTAAATATTGCTTGTGCTTCTGGCTGTGCACTTCAAGTTTTGAATACTGACATTTAAGCTGTACAGTAATTCGTAGACGAAAGCCAATAGTGATATCATAACAAAGAGTTTTCTGGGGACAGAACCATCTCTGAGTATGAGTTGGGATGTTTCCAACAAGCTAAAGTTGACATTGCAAGGAGACACCAACCAAAGACCTTGTCCTCTTCCTAACCGACTCCAGACAAGGCTGCCACAATGCCAGACACTCTCTGGAAAGTATTTCTTGTTTCTTATTCCCGATGAGTGCACCATCTGCCAAGAGCAAGGCTCTACCTTCCCCTGCTGGGCTGCTCCAGACCTACCCTCTCCAAGCACTGGGCTGGAAAGAGGAAGATGAGGAAAGTAACACAAAGTGGAGGAATGATCTCTGTGTTTTTTGTTGTTTTGCATGCTTTAAAAAGCAATTTATTTTTAATAAAGTTGCTGGAAAAGAAAGGAAGAAAGCAAATACTGACACCCAGAGCACTTCTCTTCTGCTTGGAGAACTCTATACCATTATCTGGAAGTGGACTGGCCTTTGTTGCCAAAGCTTGTGGCTGTGATCAGCAAAGGAAGGAGGAATGAATCACTTCCTCCTCCTGCAGCTGTAGTTTGTAAAAAAACCTTAAAGTATCCAATTTTATTCAAGCATCAACCCATCACAAGAGGTATTGAAAGGTCTGGAACCTGGACCTGAGTCCAATTTACTCAGCTTGTCCTTTTCCTCTCGACTCCTCTCTCTCTCTTCAAGGAGAAACTACAATACAAGGCTAAAGGTGTGCTACAGAAACAGTTTTCTAACTGTGGGCCATCTGCAACACAAATGTACACTCAGCACTGAAACATATTCTTTCAGTGTCACAAACATTACACTAAGTTT